ATTAATCATAATTATAATTGGAAATGACTTATAACTTTTTAAATTGTGAAGTATTTTTCTTCGTCTTTTTCCATTTTATAGTTAAACCATTGAAAAATAGTTTCTGTGAAGCAATAATATACTTTGCAATTATCCTAATTACTAAATGCATTTATTAATCATACGTAAATTTTAAATTATAGTGAATCTTCTATTGTTTTGTAAATTTTTAAAATATGTGTTCAAAAAATTATATATATTTAAGAAGAGTTAGTTGACTATAATGAACAATATATTTTAAATATTATAAATAAATCAAAATTTTTTATGAGAGTAAATATTCACTAATGATTTTTATAATTCATATATATACAAAGGCCTAAGGATTAGTATAATTTTTTTAATATATTTATTATGAATTTCATTATGATCTTAAAGAAACCATAAAAATATTGTATAGAACTGTTATATAATTTGAATTTTTTAAGTATAATATAATATTATCTGAGTTTAATGAATGTTATCTCAGCTATATTTCCAGTTCAATATTAAAGAATAATTTTTGTACATTAATACATATTCACTTCTTTATTAATTGACATACTGATGAAAATTTTTAGATTAATCAATTAATATCCTTAGAAGTCAAAAGAATAATTTATAAAAAGATAATCTGTGAAATGGTATTTTTTCTATTTATGAACCTACATTTTTTTTAATGCATATATTGTATATATAACAAAAGATATATTTTCACATATTAGTCATATATTTGCACAGTAAAAATACTCAATTTATATATAAAACCCCATACTGAACATAAAATTAATTTAATCAATTTGTAAACTATGGTTTTCTTGATAAATACAATATTATTAATATATTAAATATTATTTATTATATACTTCTTGTTCAGTTGTTTAAAAAGCATCTAATTCCAAAATAATATGTTTAATAAAAATATAGTATATTACAAATGCACAATTTCGCTTATAATTTTATAAAGTTCGCATTTTAATTCATTCAAAATTACCATTAGCTTATATATTTCATTTTTTTAGAATTTATCTTTTTTCTTCCAGTATAACGCTTTATTTTACGCTATATATTTTCTTGTTTTAGAGAAGACATTTAACTTTTATAATTTAAAGAATTCATTTATATATTAGACTATTATATATATTTATATAAATTATATTACAACATTGAATTTTACATTATGTTGTACTTATCTATATGATAATCAGTTTACTTCGCGTTAATATATAAAATTTATATTATTGATAATTCTATAGTATTAATATTAGAATAAAAATAATATTTTTCCCCAAATATATTTAAATAACCCTTACATAATATAACAATTAATTCTCATGGAATAAAATAAAAGGTAAATTTAGAATAACATTTATTCTTCACAAATTACTAAATTTACAGTACAGTGAATAAAATTGATAATTTTTTTTTTTTTATATTTTTAACAAACTCAAAATAGTAAAAATTATCATAATAAACAAAGAATCATTTCATAATATGTTATAGTTATAGAGAACACAATATTTAAGAGGTGCAAAGTAAATCCTTTATTTAAAATATTAAGTACCTCTAACATACAGGGTATTTATAATCTCGTATAATAGTAAATTTTATGATTAAAGTATAATTATAAATTTGTTCTATATATATAAAACTTCGAAGAATGTGCCTTATGATGCTATTATAATAATTATTTTTTATATTTATAAAATTTTCATTATATTATTCTTTTAAAAAAGTTATTATTACAATAAAATAAACATATAGTTCAAATTTCTTGATATTAGTTTTGATAGATTTTGTACGCTTTTTTATAATTTATTCACTATTGGAGTCATGCAAGGAATTCTAGCAAAAAATAATAATAAACATATGTGAATTATAATCTTTATATTATATACGGAATTGTCACTATGCATATTCAAACCATATACGTTTTTAATTGTACAATGGAATATATATGTTTAATTTTATTTATAGAATTGTCCCAAAACATAATATTACGCATTGATTAAGTATATTTTTAATTCTAAAAAGTAAAATATATATATATAAACGGATGTAAAAAATATTAATTTTCCCTGAAATGTAACACAAGAAAACAATATACATACATATTAAACATTAAAATTATTGTTTTATGTGCATAAAATATTATCTCACTAAATATATTTCTTCAAATATTATATATAAAATATTAAAAATAAATAGGTTATTAAAAGTAAAGCAAATAATTATCATGTCCAATATTAATATTCCGTGTACATATGTGTTATAATACAAGTATATCATTATCCTTGTTATATGAACATACAATAAAATATTTTTAATGTATTATATATTTCACTGAATGTATATATGTTTTGCATACAATTATCTATTATATTTAATCATGAAATATATATATTATATTCTACATAATATTAATTCACATTTGAGAATTCGTAAGCAATAATATTTCTAATAGGAATAAATAAAAATAAATGATATAAATAAGGGTATAAAACATTTTATAATATTCCAAAAAAATTACTAGGTATAAATCCATTAATTAGGATAATTAAATAAATATACATTAATTAATTGTTAAAAATTGATCCAAAATATTGTCTATATTCTCTAAGCCACAATATTCTATAATTATAACATTATTTTCTTGTAATTAAAGTGAATTAAAATTTTTTGAATAAATGTTGTACGATAAATATATTATAAGTATAAATATCATAGTTGAAATATATAATAGAAAACAGCTCTCTTATAATATCGTTATATAAATAACAACATTAAAAACAAATTTATTATTATGTAATATATATAATGTGTATAAACATTGTAATACATTTAAAATAATATGTATTTATATGAAAAAAGTTTCAACATATAAAAAAAAAAAATTAAAATGTAGTTTTATAATATTTAAGGAATTTAAAAAAAATATAAATTATAAGAGTTCCTATGGATTCTGTAAATTTAATTTTTTATTTTATATTGTGTATGTGTAGTTTTTATCAAGATATTTTTATAAATTGTTATAATTAGTTATTTAAAAAAATTTTAATTATTAAGAACCATGACTGAAAATATAACTGTGAATAAGGACGTACATATTGATTTATTATTTTATAATAATTTATATCATTTAATTAGAAAATATCATTATATATGAAAATAAAATAAATAATACCTTTTCAATCATAAATATATATTTTTTGGTAAACTGTTTTTATTTACATATTCAGTTTAATTTTGAAGGTATATTTCCCCAATGTAGAAAGGAATACGAATTAGTTAATAAAAATAGAATACGATTATGGTATGATCTTTCAAGTATGTGCAGTGATTTTCGCAATTACATTCAACCTACTGGATATAAAACTCTTTTTGAAGTTCCAGACCTTTGCGAATATCTTGGAGTATATTTAGATTATATAAAAGATAAGTCAGCCAATGATAAAAAAAGAAGTTGTTTATATTTTTTCTACAAATTAAAAGATCTAGTGAACACATATAAGGGAAAATGCTACACAACTAAAGAATGCTATGAAAAAATGAGAAAAAAGTATGTAACAGTTTATGGAGCTCAGAAAAACTATCTTGCAGTTATTTCTGATACTTGTAAAGATGAGGTTACAGAAATTAATAATATTGATGACAAAACATTTCACATTTTGAAATATTTGGACGATTTACACAATAAATTTGAAAATTTAAAAATTACTAAACACAAAACTGATAAGGATTCATGTGCATTTAATAAAAAATGCTTGGACATATATGATAAACTTTCAGAAATAAACAAAAAATCACAAAACGAGGGATTAAAATCAGAATTAGAAAAATTTAAATCTGCTTATGATAAATATGTGAAATCAAATCCTCCATGTGAAAATCAGGCGAAGATATTATATTTATCTACTGGGACAAATACAGGAATAGCTGTATCAACATTTGTAATAATAATAAATTTATTTGTTTTGTATAAGGTTGAAAAAAAATTAAATTTATTATATTTATCTTACACTGTAATGGATATTTTGTACTATTCTTAAAAAATCACAGAATATAAATGGACTAATATAAAAATTTTTGTTCTTCTACTTTATCAGTATACTGTTTTTGGCAAAATTTTAAAATCCCCAGTAAAAAAGGTTAAGAAAAGTTTGAACAAAAATAAAAATGATAATTTCAACTTAATTTATTCATCTGAGAATGAACAAAATGTTTTAAATTATAATAATTACAGAATAGCATATTCGTCAGCAGATTAATAATAAACAAGAAATAAGCATATAAAAATTCAAACGTACATATTTAAGTTATAAAATAAATTATAACTATGATTATATATAGTCAGAAGTGATTAATTATTTTAAAAATATATTTTTTATGTAACAATATTATTATAAATGTCTCCTAAGTTATTTGGTTATTTAACTAATAACAGAAGTGTAAATTTTGAAAACTTCAAGGGTAATGAAAAATAATGGTAATTATTATAATAAATTCAAAAAAATATTAACCTATATATAAATATTAAGAGTTATTTTATATTAGAATGATGCATTTTGGAATAGAAATACTTAAATATTACATACAACCATATTTATAAAATTAACCTATTAAAATGTAACAGTTGGATATTATTTTTCATTAAATAAAAAGCAGAAATACATATAAAAAAATAAATAATAAATACCCAATAATCTATTATATAACTTATAAATCTAAGATAATTACATAAAACTATTAATTGAAAAACAATTATCATTTTCTGTAATTTTTATTTTCAGAATCATTATTCTTGAGAAATGTAATGTAATATGATGTATAATAGATATTTATTATTAAACGATAAAATGATATAAATGCAACATATTGTGCAACATAAAAGTAAGTGAGAAATGAATAATGTATATAATGTATTGTATTAATATTTTTAAATATTAATATATATATATTTTTTTAATTCTATTATAAATTAATATATTATATCTATAATGAACTAATGATTATTGTGTTCGGGCTTCAGGGATTAATTATTATATTTAGCGTTTTTGTTAAGGATATGTTGTTTATTTATGAAATGATATTCGATTTATTTAAACTTCCTTAATCACTTATATTTTTAGCGATTGTCTTTTCAAAAATTATTTCCATTATATATAATTCATATATGTGAACACATTGTAGCTGTCATATTAAGATATAATTATCCAATAAATATAACAGATTTAATATACCATTATATATTGTAATTATTATTGCGGGTTTATGAAATTACAATTTTGCGTATAAACCTTATATATAAAATGAATTTCATTGGTGCATATTTTA